GGCTACTGCACTTGGGATCAACATGTATAACCTAGAATTCCTTTTCTTCTACGTACCCTTTAATGAACGTTGATAGCATTTTCGTCAAAAAAAAGGGGTGAGCGTGGGACCTTACGGAAAATCCCTACGTATTGGAGTAGGCTGGGCACCTTAGCCCTCCTTTGGTTTGTAGGAATGTCATATGATTTTTATAGGATAGAATTTGCATAGAAAAATTTCCTTTGAGATCCTTTGGTTTGTAGGAATGGATTTCTATTCCTATATAGGATAGGAATCAATCCTTCACATTTTGGAGGAAAAAAACATTAGCTAAGACTCAATGGAAAATTTTCTCTCCTATGCATCAAATGACATCTCTTTCTCTATCTCTATAGGAATTGAGATGCATGTCATCTCACTTCCTATGATTTTCCTATTTCTACAACATTTCTATCCTATGAACCAAAGGAGGCCTAATCATTTACTTTTCCTATCTCAACACTTTGTTGTTGAACTGGGACCCTCAACACTTGTAACAAAGGAAAATTGGAGGGAAAGAAGAGGATTTGGATCCTAGATAAAATCTTATTTCTACCCTTAGGGCTCATTCGCTTTGGAGAATTTTTGGAGGATTCCTACGAGATTTCCATCATGTCATTTCCCCCATATGTTTAAGCATTAATTTCACAGGAATAGTAGTACTAATACATTCCTTAGGGTTGTGTCTATATTCATATGATTCCTTAAGATTCTTAGCATTAGGTGAGACCTCATGAAAAATTTCTATGTATTGGAGCGAGCAGGGCACCCTAATCGTTTACTTTTTCTATTCGATTAATTTGAAAACCATGTAAACCAAATGGACCCTTAGATCGTAGGATGGACCCGCTCTTATCACAAATGATTTTATTTATCTTACCCCTGTTAAACTCGGTTATTAGAGTGATAATAGGTTTTTGCTCTGTAGAAGATGTTCGAGTGCTTGCCTCTTTAGCGGGTCTCCTATTAATGCACCAACTAGTCTTCCCCTTCTTTCCCGTCTTGTGTTTTTTTTTTCGAACCATGCAGGAGAGCTGCATGTATTATATTAAAGAAAAGGGGATAAACAACACGACCAATTCAAAACAACTCAGAAAAAATAGAAAAACGAACTACACCCCCAACCGAGAAACAACTAGCACGCAAAAAAGCCCCTACAGGCCGAACACAATAACATGCAGTTAATGAAGGATCAAACGACCAAAACTTGCCACCTCCCACTACCTAGCGTCAGCTTTGATTTGATCAACGACATTTTGCAAAGGCGTGAAGCGATTATCAAAGACTCTTTTGTTTCTCTCGCGCCATATGCTCCAGATGATCAAGTGAACTAAGGAGTTCAGAGATTTCCTCTTAGTTCCTTGAGTAATGAGTCTAGCATTGTGCCACCAATCCTGGAGAGACGGTAATCCTTGAGGCACTATCTCACTCAAACCAGCCCACTGAAGCACCATATTCCAAATAATCTGCACGACCGAGCAACCTATGAATAAATGATGAACGGTTTCTTGAGTGTTATGACAGTAGCAGCAAGCATCCTGGTGAGGCAAACCACGTTTGGCAAGACGGTCGTTTGTCCATACACGCCCTCTGACGACCAACCATAGAAAAAGTTTAATTTTCAGAGGCGCCCAAGTCTTCCAGACACCACTGGCCATGCTGCATTTTACCGCAGCACAAAAATGCGCATTATAAACAGACCTTGCTGAATAATCTCCCTTTGCTTCCCAAGTCCAAGTCCACTTATCTTCATTTGAGGGATCAAGATGAATATTGGTAACGATCTCCCATAAGTTTAACACCTGATGAAAGGTACGAATAGAAATCTGCCCCTTAATATCTTTAATCCAAGCTCCATCAATCATTGCATCTGCAACAGTTCTTCTTTCTCTGACGACTGTTGGGACAGCGTTAATAACATCCGGTGCATAATCTGCAACAGTGGCCCCCTCCATCCATCTATCCGTCCAGAAGTAGCATCGCTGCCCATTTCCCAAAACCACTCGAGCCGCAACATTGAAAAGCTGTCTATTGTTATACTCCAGGGGGTTGAGCATGATGCTCCAAGAGCGATCCAGAGCAGTACGAGCCTTCCACGCCCAACACAACTTGAGAGCAGAATTCATAATCTCAAGGTCTAGTATGCCCAAGCTACCACACTCCTTCGGTCTACAAACATATTTCCAACTCACTAAACAATAGCCACCATTCACAACTTCAGTACCCTTCCAAAGAAAAGCTCTCCTAATTTTATCAATGGCCTTGAACACCCACGGAGGTGGATCCAACGACATGAGGTGGAAAATTGGTATAGCCGAAAGCACGGCCTGAACCAATATTAAACGACCACTCTGAAACAGAAAGCTGGTTCGCCATGTCCCTAATTTGTTCCTGATCTTGTCAATCAAGCACTGAAAGTCCTCTTTGCGCAATTTTTTCAGACTAAGCGGTAGACCCAAATACTTTATGGGAAGTTGTTCAATCTGACAGTTTAAGGTGTTACCAAACTCGGCAATCAGCTGATCCTCGCAGGAAATTGGAGTTATTGAACTTTTGTTCATGTTACATCTCAGACCTGAGGCACTCCCAAAAATATTTAGAAGTACTCTAGTTGCCTCTACCTCATTATGTGCAGCCTTAAGAAAGAGAATGACATCGTCCGCGTATACGGACAAACGTTGAGGAATGGCATGGTTGTTAGTGAATTTCTCAATGACTCCAAATTCCTCTGCCTTGTCAAATAACTTGCTTAACATATCCATGGCAATTGTAAATAGCATGGGAGAAAGGGCATCTCCTTGCCTAAGGCCACGACCGTGCCAAAAACTAACTCCGGGAATTCCATTCAGCAAGATTTTAGTAGAGGCGGTTCTTAGTAGCATGGCAATCCAAGCACACCATTTAGGACCAAAGCCAATCCTCTTTAAGACCTCAAGAAGGAACTGCCACGCAACCGTGTCGAAGGCCTTTGCAATGTCCAGTTTAATTATGAGGCTTTTGCATCTTCTTTCCTTCAAAAGCTTGGCTGACTCTTGGACCAATTTAAAATTCTCATGCAGCGAATGACCTTTTAAAAATGCACCTTAATTTTCACCAACTATATGTGGGAGCACAGAGGCTAATCTCCTTGCGAGCACTTTAGACACAATTTTTGCTAGGCTGTGAACAAGGCTGATCGGTCGGAAGTCGTTAGGACTGCTAGCTCCTGGTCTTAATGGTAAAAGCACCAAATGTGCGCTGTTAACCTTATCAAATGTCTTGTGTTTCATAACGTACTTTGTGTTTTGATTACGGAAGCAATGGAAATGTGTTAGCCCAGCTTAAAAAGACATCATAGGATTGGACCAAATAAATTTCACATGATATTCTTATTAAATAAAATATTTGGAGCAAAAAAACAGCCCACAAGGCCTTGTTGAGGATGATCTCCTGTGTGAAATTCGAGAAATTTCATTCCATTTATACGAGAAGTGCCGATCCTTTTTAAAAAAATAAAAGAGGGTTTGAGGGTGTCCCAGCTGGTTCCCATGGCCACAAAAAGCTAGCGGACATAACTGCTTTGAAAGTGCCAATACATCTTTTTTGTACCATCTCTTCATCTCTCTATCTTCTTTTGTGGGAGATCTTTTTGTCTCTATATCTAATCAAGTAGGACATTATAAGATCCAATGACAAAAATTCCTGCATTTTCTTCTTCCGGCGTAAAAAAGGCTCCTCTCTGTAATATATGTGGTCCTGTTTTTGTAAATACGTGTTTTTCTTATCCATGGGCTCCTATGAGAATGTGTCGGTTAGATCACCTCCACAGTCCACATCATCCAAAAATCTAGAAAATGCATTTTGTTTATTTATTATAGAAATGTTAGGACAAAGGAGGATTGTACCAAACCCCTTCTTTTCAATACAATGAAACGCAAAAGTCTTTTGCGTTTTCTCGAGAAAAAAAATGTTAGGACAAAGGAACTAAGAGATTTTTTCCTTCAGAATAACAAGATTTCCAAAGAATTTTGCTTTTTCTGGGGATAAAGAAAAGAATCTTTTCCTTAGGTTCTGTCTATCAATTTCAAAATCATGAGAAAGATATTTTTTTTAACTTCAGAGAAGCTTTAATTATTTTAATTTGACTCTCTGTTTCTTAAGTTGGGTCTGAGGAGCATTTTTTTACTAGTTTTTAGATTTGGCGATTATTTGCATAGTTTTAGAGTCGAGGACCGTAGTGTACACTCAAGCAATATTTGAGAAACGAATGTCTTCTTACCCTAGATTATTCTACCAACTCCAACAAAGATATGTTGGTTTGTGTCTAAAAGGTATTACCATTTAGTTAGTCATTGCCAAGAATTCGGTATTTGTCCGAATATACATTGAAAAGAAAGAAAACATGGTCTGCCTCTTTGTTAATTCTGTTAATTTACATTGCCAACGTTCTCCAAATATGGGAGAAACAAAAGCATTGATAATATTTCCATTTATTCACAAGAAAATAACACAGGATGAGGGCATATTTTGTAGTGGCAGTGAAACCGTGTTTCTCTCACGATGCAGAGGCCGGGGTACTCCCCTTATAAAAAACCTAAATCCTATAAAAAAATAAAGAAATCTATTTCACTCCTGTCTAGTACTCAAGAGTTATCTGGAGTTTTTGGCAGTGCCTTGAGCATTAATTTCTTTGGGCTACACAAGGTCTTCCACAAGATTCAGAAATTAGTAATCAGCTCTGTTTTCAGTTGTTCGGAGAACAAGAAAAGCCCTGTTCCACTTTCACAAAACCTTCCGGATATGTGGGAAACGTCCTAAATTGGTTTCTATGGAACACCACAGTAGTTCAGTTGCAAACTTCAGACACTGGAGCTTTCAACAGCAAACATATAAGGCGGACCCATTTTGATTAAACATTAGTTTGACAGAAGCACATCAGGCTTCTTTGAAATGTACAAAGAACACTAGAGTCAAATAACTGTCTGAGAAAAGCTCCAACTTGATCAGTTGAGGTACTGAGAGTGAGCAGCAGCAATCAGGGCAGCTCCGACGCCCGAACCGTCCTTTGTGAGCTTGACCGCCACCAACTCCGACGCCTCCTCGCCAAGCAGCTCCACCAGCGTGCTCTCCAGGCACTGCCGGAACTTGGCGTAATGCTCAAACAGCCCGCCGTCGATCGCGATGACTGTCCTCCTCTCGTCGCCTGGGGTGCCCCTACCAATCTTCCTGATTATCCCCACAATCCCGGCAGCAGCCAGCCGGGCAGACCTGCTGGTCACGATGTCGCAGATTTCGACGACCATCTTCCGAGTCTCCAAGGACGTGTCTTTGATCTTCAGGGTTTCTGCCAGTTTTTCAGCTACAATCCTCAGATCAGGGGTTTCATCATGGTGCATCGCGGAAATATCAGGAGTCCTGAATGTCACACATGAGAAGAGGAGAAGCAGTCAGCACTGCGCCGCGTCCAGTCATATGTTACACAAAACCAATGAACTAGAAACATAATGCCATGGATTATCTGTTCTCTAACATTACTGATCGCTACATATAACACAGTTAGCAATGCAAATATACCTCAGAATGAAGCGAGTTTCGAGGTTGGTGCGTTTAATGTGACCAAAAATCGAAGACCGCGAGGCGATTTTAAGAAGCACCCGCCTCACGATGTCACCAAGATACATTCCGGATATTAACTTTTCGAAGATCTGGAAAGGAAATGAATGTTAGGGCATTGCAAGCTAAGGTTTAACATGAATGACAATTGTGTAAGTCCTACAAGCTTGCCTGCTCTCTAGGATTTAGGCTCTCCTTGTCTAATGCTTGATCATATTCTGTGATCGGAAGGCATGAAGAAGAGAAGTTGCCCCATTCGGTATTTATAACCTGAAACACAGAAAAGTACAGTCAGAAGACATGAATGAATTAGATAAGTGATCTTGTGCAGTGCACATTAGTTATTTGGAATTGAACAGGCCTATAAACCTTACCATATTTCCTGATTTTGGTAACTCTCCTTCCAACTTGGGTATGGCATCTGCCTTTTCTACATATGCGGCATTTGAGCCGGTGCCTAATATCACGCCGATGACAACATCTTCATCGTTATAGCTGCCCGTAGCCAGTGTCCCTACGGTGTCGTTGATCTGAACCATGAACAAGTAATGTCAAATATGTAACCAACAGAAGATCGTGTTAGTGCGATTGAGAAAAATGCAAACGCTAATCGCATCGGTTCAGAAGAGAAGATAAGAGAACCTACCAATGCAGACACACGCATGTCGACACCTTGCTTCTCCATGGCCGTCTGCAATTCCGCGACTACATCTTCGCCGATCTGTAAAAAATTTCAAAGGTAATTTCAGATATATTTGTCAAGCAAATGGCACAACTCTGATTAAAAGCTGGATTTTCTTGAATGCATCTCCACAAAGCATGGAATACGTACCGCGTCATCGATGGCAAACGCCTTTGTCCACTTGATCAGGGTGCCCGACGCAATGGACGACTGCCTCACGGGGAAAGAGAACGTGAAGCCCAGCTCCCTCTGCTTGCCGTCCAACACTTTGTTATCTCCTTCATCTGCAACAAACTTGGCTAGCGCGGACGCGATGAAGCCAAACAACTCCTGAGGAGGCATGAGCACAAGGTCAAATGTGCCAACGAGACCATCACATTCAGGTACCAACAATACAGGGTAATGAGACTTGGAAACTGCAAAGCATGTGTACTAACCGCAGCGCTGCCTGACATGAGGTGAGGAGGAATAGAGACCTCCCTGGATTCACGCTTGACAACGCGCTTGTCCTTGCCAGCAAGCTGCACACGAAGCACGCGGAAGTTTGTTCCTCCAAGGTCCAGTGCGTAGAACAAGCCTTCTTCACTCCTAGATTCAGTCGCAACAAACGGTAATCACGCAAGCATACTATGAGGTGAAACTTCAATCTTTTAGTTGAAAGTGTCACTAACTAAGAAGCATTTACAAATTAAAAGTAAGCTACTATGGTTCTAATAGCGAGTAGTCCCTCAATTCCAAATTGGCCAAATATATAGAAAAGTCTGCTAAAATCTACAATATCAAATATATATAATAGAAAAATATATTTCATAATGAATCTAATGAAGAATATTTGGTGCTGTAGACGTTGACATATTCTTGTATAAACTTGGTCAAACTTAAATTACTTAATGAAGTTTGACTTATGACAAATATAGAACTTGAATTATTTTGAAACGGAGGTAGTACTAAGTTCTTTTAGAAAAATATTCACTTCGTTGAAATTCAAGTCCAAATATAACTTCAAGCTCTAGAAAGCATGTAAGAATATTCAAATGGAATTCACTGATGAGAAGGCGTTCGCAGGCCAGTTATTAAATAGCAAACGTTCCACCGACACCCACAGTCGCAAACGAGATATTTTACATACGTAGAGTGGTAAATTCTAGGCCGTTTTACACGGGTTGACATCCGGACACGCAGGTGGGCAGCAGGGCACGCACGTGCTGCCGCCGCACAAGCGGCACGGATGCCGGCGTGCAAGTGGACACGCGGATGCAAAAAAACACACACAGAACGTGTAGTACTACGATCCGTCACATGCGCACTTGTTCAAGAAGATCTGTCAACACGCAGCATGGTGCCACTCCCACCATCTGTCAGCACGAGAAACCCAGCCTCGCCACCAACCCAGCTAGCTAGGTGAAGCCAACTACTACTAGTACATAGTATAATTATTATCAAATCGATTCAGACAATGAACTTGATGCTAAGGCAAGAGCCATCAATGCTATCATATGTGTGCTGCTTCCTGCTCTTAATGCTCATTAGAAAGCAAATCGATGAAATTCATATGCAGATATTTTTGGTTCGTTCGTCCGAGAAATTTGCCATGAAAAAGATAATTTTGTTCTCTTATGTATTTACCATAAGCAGATTGGGATTGAGAAGGGTCGGGGGGAGTTACCCGTTGGGGAGGTTGTCGACGTAGGAGATGATCATCTTGATCTTGCTGCCGCCGTCCTCGTGCAGCCCAGCCCTCATCTCCTCCTCCATGGCCGTCGCCACGCCATCCAGCCGCGTCGCCGGGGTCGCGCACTCCTCCCGGAGCTGCGCTACCACCTTCTCCGCCACCGCGTCCACCGCCGCCACCATGATCCCGACGCCCGACGAACAGAACCCGCCGGAGGAAGAAACTCCTACGATCAACCGAGAACCAAGCGAGGTTCCGCGACAGGGGCAGGGAAAAGAAAGCC